AAAAATTAGCCGGGTGTGGTAGTGCTTGTCTGTAATCCCAGCTACTTGGGGGACTGAGGCATGAGAATCATTTGAACCTGGGTTGCAGTGGGCCAAGATTACACCACTGCACTCTAGCCTGGGTGACAGAACGAAAAAAAAAAAAAAAAAAAAAAAAAAAACCTAAACAGATAAATACATAAAATAAATATATTCTTCTAAGTTAAAAACTAGATTATACAAAAAATATCCTACAGATATTTGTACATATGCCAATTATTTTGTGCAGTTACCAAAAGCAACATCATTTGAAACAGTAAAGCATTACAAACCCAACTGTCCATCAAGAAGGACAAGGTAAGATATGATATACACCTACAAAGGAATACTCTGCAGTCATGAGAAAGAGGAAGTTCTCTATGTACCAGGAAAGATTACTCCCAAAGTTACATTCTTAAGTGAAAAAATACAGTTTAGAACAGTGTATACAAGCAGCAATAAATTATGTACCAAAATGTGCAGGCATATGTGTATGCTGTGTGTATAAATATGTGTATATACATGTCTGCTCATAGGTACATAAAATATCTGTACAGATAATGGTGGGTGCCTCTGTGAGGGGAAACTGTGCATGTGGCTGGAGAGGAAGGATGGGCAGCTACTCACTCTATGTTCTTCAGTGAACTCCTGAATCTGAACTTTATGAATGTACTACCTACTCCCAAAATAACTTAAAAAACAGGTAAAGAGGACCACAAAAATGTTTAGAAAAATTAGTGCCACCACAGGTAGCTTCTTTTTTAAAATTTCCATGGAAATTACTTTAAATACAACTAATGCTCCAAAGAAAATAAAAGGACTTTCTTTCTGATGGACTTCACAGAGAAATGAATTCAAGAAAGTAGAAAAATTACTTACACTCCTAAGTATAAAATTTTAGAAATCAGGTCCCAATATAAAAGCTGTTTTGAATTCTACATACAATGCACAAAGAGTAATATGAATAGATTTTACTAATAATTAAAAATAACTGGCTCATGAAGAGATATTACACTTTTAGAAGAAATGAATTAAATTTTGTGAAATATTCTGAAGAAATCTAAACCTTAAGCTTACTAAAACAACCATTTTTTTCTAAAAACAAATGTTGCAGTACTAATGAAAGTCATCAGATTTAGTTTTATACACATAATTATGAAATATTTGATTATTTTAAAACATACAAAGTGGGATTATTAAAGCCTGAGACTGCTTTGGGTCACAATCAGATTTTAAATTGCAAACGCAAGAACGATATTTTGCAGAGAATTCAAAAAATGCACAAAAACACACATTAGTATCCGTAGCTGGCAGACTTTGTTACTGAGAGGCACTGAGGTTCAACAGTTAAAAGCATGAATCCATGGCTCTGAAGCAGGATGCCTGCATCCAAACCCATAAATCTAGCAACAAATCAAAGTGTATTCTACTATTCTTCATGAATGTTCAAAACATTATTATTTCTTCATTATTATTGTTCTGGGATGCAGTAAGCCTAATTTCAGTAAATGATATGAGTTGAACTGACTTTTTTTCATTATTTAAAAAAAACCTGACAGTACTAATACCTTTCCTGCCATTATGAAAGATTTTCATAAAGCTTTTAACAAATATCCTTTAACTGAATTTATTTCTTGGATAAGCACGACAACCTGATATCTCCCCTTTCGTTAAAAGGGGCCTATCATGGGGAGGGGGGAGGGGGGAGGGACTGCATTGGGAGTTATACCTGATGTAAATGACGAGTTGATGGGTGCAGCACAGCAACATGGCACAAGTATACATATGTAACAAACCTGCACGTTATGCACATGTACCCTACAACTTAAAGTATAATAATAATAAATAAATTTAAAAAAAAAAAAAAAGACATCCGAATTCAAAGAAGGAGCAAGCATATACTTTCCAACTATTTCTGATCAACATTAGAACTACTCAGTAATGTAATAAATACTTTTGGTATTATTCTCTAATTCCTTTATACAGACAGCTTCACCATACCCAGTGTCACACGCTATTATGACTTTCAGAGTACACTTAATAGTTAAAATGAGACCACCATTGTCTGAAACATTTTTGATACTTATAATCACAGATGATGTAATTAGAATCAATTATTGCTTTATTTATTAGATCTCCAGATGAATAATGGGTATCTTTCTGGTGGGTTTATAACTTAAGAACATTGAATGTAATTTTGCTGTTTCTTCAATAAGAGATGCTAACACTCAAAAGAGGATTGTAAATCACTAAGACTTCTAAGTGAATTAACTGCACTATTAACTATTTTGTCATATCGCCAGTGTAGTGGGGTATCTCTCCATTCCAATTTGAGGACCCCTTATGCTAAGATAACTACAGAAAAATACAGAAAGTACTCATTTTGCACAGTTCCAATATGCACATTTTAGTTAGTATGGTTAAGTAACACCACTTCCTGCAGAAGAGCACAGGTCAAATTTTAGTTAGCATGGCATAATACCTGAATAACTGCATAAAGTATAAACTTTTCTAATTCTTTAGTCTACAAATCATAACATAAATAATTACGCAACTAAGAGATGCAAACTGTCATCAGTAACTAGCCACATCATTTCTTTCAAAGTATGTTGATGGTTGGTCACTGTGCTTCTGTTATGCAGTTCATGCAGAGATAGCAAAGCATGTAGTTTTGTATCTCCTTGTCTCCCAATGATAAAGTATGTGACATTTAGAAAAAGAGATAATAAAAAGAGGAAACTGGCCGACAAAGATGAAATACAGCAAAGAAATGAAAAGTAATAATGCTGGAAGTGAATTTCAAATAAAGAGTTACAGAAGAAACAGGTGACCAAGGGAATGCTGACACTATCCCTCTAGATACACAGAGAACTCAGTGAAGGCAAACTTATTGACATAAATGAGGAAAGCGGTTGTGACGAAAATTTTCTAGAGGACATGATGCTGGCAAAAAATATTCATATTAAAGGAAATCTCAGAGATACTTCAAAACATTGAAAATACACAGACAAAATACTTCATAAAATTAATATATGGCATATAGAATTTATTCAGTAACAAATTAAAAATTTCTTACCTTGGTAACTTTTTATACAAGAATCGCTTTAGGTCCTGAAAGAGAATATTAAAAAATCATGTTATAATAATAGGCCTTCCACTGTTTTCTAGATCCTGTCCTATCCAAATTTTAGGGACGTTCAGTTATCATTCATAACCTTTCTTGCTGTGTTTTATCTTTCTCTGTCTGATTTGGATGTTTACTAGTCATGCAACTTGGAGTAAGTTAACTAACCTTTTTTCCCTAAGCCTATTTCATTATTTGTTGAATAGGGTTAATATAGAACCTACATCATAAGAGTGCTGTTAAAGTTTTTTGAGAAGTTGCATGGATTAGCATACCTAGAAATGGGAAACACAAATACATTTTAGCCATAAAAATACATCATAATTTTCATACTAGTGTTTTATATCCTGTTGCTATTGTGTTCACTTGAGAAGACATTATAAACACCTTTCCAGGTTCAAAGATAGACTTTCCACCATCATTTTAATGGTCTTGGGTAAGGTGATATGACTTCTGTAAGACTGGTCTCACATTATAAAAATATGCCTTCCATTGTTTATTTGTTGAACTCACCTACTCAACAAATAATGAAACAGTGTAAGGCATATTATTATAACATAATTATTAAAATATTCTGTTTAAGGACCTAAAATAAATTATATATGACTATGTGAGGCAACAGTCTTTTTTTTTGTTTTTGAGAGGGAGTTTTGCTCTTGCTGTCCAGGCTGGAGTGCAATGGCGCAATCTCCGCTCACTGCAACCTCTGCTTCCCAGGTTCAAGGGATTCTCCTGCCTCAACCTCCGAGTAACTGGCATTATAAGCACCCACCTCCACGTCCCAGTTTATTTTTTGTATTTTTAGTAGAGATATGGTTTCACCATGTAGGCCAGGCTGGTCTCGAACTCCTGACCTCAGGTGATCCACCCGCCTTGGCTTCCCAAAGTGCTGGGATTACAGACGTAAGCCACCACCCCCAGCCCAGACTTACAGAATATAAGATAAATGGCGAAGTGTGTCAAGTGTTTAACACTAAACACAGTTAAGACTAAAGAAATATAAGACTATTTTATTTTTCTAAGCTGGAGCTCACTGCAACTTCCAAGTTCTGGGCTCAAGCAATCCTTCCGCCTCACTTCCAGCATAGCTGGGACCACAGGGTTATCAATGCGCCTGGTTAATTTTTAAATTTCTTTTTGTATAATGGGGTCTTGCTACGTTGCCCAGGCTGATCTTGAACTCCCAGCCTCAAGTGATCCTTCCATCTCGGCATCCCAAAATGCTGAGATTACAGACTAAGCCACCGCACCGGCCAGAAGATTATCTTATTTTGTCTCATTACACTCTCTCATCCCAGGAATTTCACTGACACTTTAGGTATCAATTTTGACCTCGCATGGATTAATCAGATATCTGTTGTTTTGAGCCTCCAACACTTTACTATTCTCCAAACCCGAATGATCATTTTATTTCATGTTATGACTATTGGCTTATTTTTGCTCTCATCCTACACACACACATACACACACACACACACACACACACACACACCCCTCATTTTATTTCATGTTATGTTTCTAAAGAGGCATGGGTTAGAAATCATCGTAAATTGCCACAATAAACCTAATAAGATATTGTTACCACTTACTGGAAAAAAGTATTCTGGGTACATGTCCTACTGACCAAATTCTGACAGGAAAAGCAGCCAACCATCATTCAGAATTTCAAATGGTAAATACACAGAGCCTCTCTTATACCCCAGCTGGATTGGTGGGTAGGGAGAATATAATTTTCTCAGTCTCAAGCACCTTAGTGTCCTCCACCCCCATTCGAGGCAGAAACTCAGGATCCTGCAAATTCATTCATATTAGTCTCCCATTTCACATACAAGAGAAAATAATTAACTGGGATGGGTGGGGATGGGAGGATCTTCTACCTCTCCCCGCTCAGTATTCCCCTCCAAATTCCCCACTCTCCCTTCCTCTTATGTGGGGGTGTCACTCACATCCGCCATGATGAACCCCTTTCTCTCGCAGGATCAATCTCCACGCCTGGAAGAGAAACTCCCGGTGACTCTTACCTCTTTGGCTTCCTCGTCCTCCCCACCCCCAACTTAATAAGCAAGATAGCCCTGGTCAGAACCCGGCAAAACCCCCGCGGTTCTAGGGCTTGGCCCAGCGAGCCCAGTGGGAGTCGGAGTGCCCCAACACCCCCACGGGTACTCAGCTGGCACGCCTTGCCTCAGCCCACCCCATCCCTGCCCCTCCACCCCAAAGAGCTAGGCCCAAAGAAAAGAAGAGGGGGCCCTCTCCTTCTGTTTAGTCTGACCACCCGCGCCACCTCCGGGACTAGGCCTCAAACCAGGCAAAGTAGCGCCAGTTACCTGGGGTTTCTGGGTTGCCTGGTTCTCTCCGTTGTCACTTCAGGGACAGCTTTAAAGACAGGTTCCTCCTCAAGCCACCGTCACATGATTGATGACCTCTTCTGCGCTCCGGGAAGCACTTTCTACGCCGTCGCCCCACGATACTGGATTTCCGGAAGGGCTTGGCGGAAGCTTCGAGGGCGCGGCCGCCCGACGCGCCCCGCCCCTCCCCCGCCCACCGCGGGCCGCGTCTTGCGCCTGCGCCGTGTGTCACGGGCCGAGGGACGTCAGCTGTGGGGTAGAGGATTTGTACGAGATCGCTGGACCCTTAGGACCCCAGAAAATGCAAGCAAGGTTATGTGTTACAAGACATTCTTGTGCAGAGAGGGTGTATAAATGTCATTAGTTTTTCAGGGTCCGTTATCTTAAAACCTTTTCTTGTAGATGAAGAAATTTGAGGGGATGGTGTGATGAGCTGAAGAGCAAGCAACAGATTGCCTGTGATTGGAAGTATCAGGTCCACAGGTTTCTGACTTGTTTCCTAGGTTCTTGTGACTTCCCCATGGGTGCTCTTTACTCAAGGCCTTATCTAGATTGAATGGGGAGGAGCCATGGGTTTTCTGGAGCACTTCAAGCGTCTACTTTTAACATGCAGACACGGGATTACGGGTACTTTCTATGTTCCCTTTTACATCAGAATTTTTAAAAATTAGTAAGGTCTCATATAATAAATAATAATTGGAAAAAAAAAAAAAAAAGCCTTGCCGAGTGCGGTGACTGACGCCTGTAATCCCAGCACTTTGGGAGTCCGAGGCGGGACGATCCTTTGAGCCCAGGAGTTCCACACCAGCCTGGCAAGATAGAACCCCATCTCTACTACTACTACTACTACTACTACTACTAACAACAATAAAGAATTAGCCTTACGTGGCGTGCGCCAGGTACTCCGGAAGCTGAGGCATGAGGATCCCTTCAGCCCAGGGTTTGAGGCTGCATTGAGTGGTGATCGCCCCACTGAACTCCAGCTTGAGTGACAGAGCGAGATGCTCAAAAGAAAAGCTTCTTTAGAAATCACATCCTCTTTCAGCTACCACCCTGTTTTTCCTCTACTCCCTTTCATAGCCAAATTTTCAGAAAATTTTAGCCTGGTTTTTAATTGCTGCTTGCATGTCACAAATCTAATCAGAGTTCTGTTGATTCTACCTCCTATCTTTGAAAACTAGTCACCTATCTATGTTTGTACCCCAGTGCAAGCCATGATCATCTCTCTCTTGACAATAACCTCCTATTCTTCTTACATTCTCTTTTGCCCTCCAGTCTCCATAGAGCAACAAAAATGATGTTCTAAAAACCCAAATCGGATCATTTAACTCCTTTCTTGAAAATCAACTTTATCGACTTAGGATAAAGTTCAATATCAGCATCATGGTTTATATATCGTTCTTATGGGGATCTGGCCCCTATATTGATTCTCTCACCTACCCTGGATTCCTTATGCTATGATCATACAAGTTTGTTTCCACTTCCATAAAGATTTTTATCACTTTACCAACTCAGCACATTCTGCCTGAGATATTTCTCTAGCATACCTTAATCCTACTAATCTCTTCTTTTGCATTTCAGCTTAAACTCACTCTCAGAGAAGCCTTTCCTGACCCTCACTGAATAGTTTAGGCCTTCTAGATAAATGCTTTCATTTTGCCCTGTAATTTTCTTTGTAGAATTTATCATAATTATAATTATTTACTTGATATTTATTTTCTTTGCTAGATGGAAACTCTAAGGTTTTTGTCTTTCTTATTCAATGATTGATTCCCAGCACCCAGCTCACTGCCTGGAATATAGCAAGCATTGATACACTTGTTGCCTAGTTGAATGAATGAAAGAGTGGCCATATTAAGAGTAGAAAACATGATAAAACAAACATTTTACAGTGAGAACAGACCTTTTTATTAATATATTGAGATAAACTACAGAGACTGAAAGACAAAAATTCATATTTCATTCAGAACATTCATTAAAAATCAAATGCATTTACTTTGCGTTCTCACAGAAAATTTTATTTAAGTCTGATATAACATTAAATATTTTACAAATCAGACATTTCATTTTAAAATCTAATTTATAATCCTGAATGCACTATAGACAAAGTAAGCTCTCCTTTACCAGTTTCATTTAACTTATACAAGGCTTCCATTATAATTCCATCAAACCTTAAAAATTACCTGCAGCTTTTAAAAATACATAAAGTAAATGGAAAGAAAGTCTTATGCAGCAATCCAAAAACCAAAACCAGAAATTGGCAAGAAGCATTTCTTAATACAGATAAACTGCAAAATATCATTTATGTGTGTTTCTTCTCACTGGTTTAATCATCCTATTCAAAATAATTCTTTTTGAAACTAATAATTACAATACTCCAATGTCACTGAAAATCTCTATGATTTTAATTGTGTACTTAAATGGCAAAGTAGAATATCAGATTGAAATGTACAGTCTTGTGCTGAAGTGAATGAGGCTTGCCATGCCAGGTGTCATCTGCTATGCAGTTACAAGACATCTTGGCAACTAGTCATCCCAGTTTTTACTAACTTACTAAACAAGGACATTTCAAGAAATACTTCTTAACCCTATATATTTCCAGATGGCTGGATATAGAAAGATATAATTATGTTTGAAGCATGGACCTTATAATAGGAATCTCTGCATTAAAATATGAAAAAGAGCAACAGAAAGAAGTCACACCAATGAAATTGTGTTGACTGATTTTCAAAGTTAGAAATAAAAATATCCACTGTTAATGGAAGCCCTGCACTGTGCAAACATAGTGTGGTATATATTAAACAATCACACATTTGAGGTATTAGCTGGAAAAAAAATATATATATACACCTGTACATAGACACATCCACAGAATATTCACAAATCTATTGGCCCCAACACCAGCAGATAGTCATATTAAATAAAAAAAATCACATACCAACAGGAAAAAGTTACACATAGGGAATTTACAAAAAATGTGGTGCTATAATCCTTAATATAAGGAGTATGTTTTGAATTAATGTTTTGAGGAAAAGTGTTTCCATTTATATGAAAGTTGTCTATTTAATAGTAATAAAACCAAAAAGGAAGCTGAATTCTAGGACTGTTTTGCCTGCCAAATTATTGAAGGGATGAGCAAGAATTCCTTGAAAAGCCTCATTCTATCCTTTTTCTTTGTAACTGGAAATCAGAATTTAAAATGTTGGAAATTATTGCCAGATTCCTTTCTTTTCATTGGTTTATAGGGAGTTTTATGGATTTTAACTAGGCAATAGTCCAATGTGGTCAACAGACATGGTTTTTCAGCTGTTGAATGAAAATTAAAATAGGTATTGTTGATTTTCATTAGTTTTTCTGTTGAGATAAGAAAAAAGATTATGAATTCCCTTTCAGTTTGCTTCACTCAGTATGAAGATGGCTAGTAGTAATAGGACAGTACTGAACCCAAGCTTCACATGGGGAAGCTCAACAAATGTACAAATTCTCCTCTTTTAACCATTTGGTCCTTGGACATAAAACTTGCTTAACTGGCAAGATGGCTCACTTGGTCCTCAAGCCAACATCAATAAATATTTAGCTGTCTTAACACAGGTGGGAGTTTTTTTTTTTTAATGAAATACATAGGAATCCATTAAGTAACATCAGCATGTCGTATGTGTTAAATAGTTTCATTTAAAAATATTACAGATCAACAGAAGGGAAATCAAAAACTTAATCATTTTTCTCAGTAACTACTTTACATACTAGTGTAATTAAAGATTTAACTGGAAGAAAAATTAAGCATAAAAGTATAATTAAAGTAAAAAGCTGGTATTCCACATTCCTGTTCCTATGAACACCTGAGCTGACACAAAAGCTGAGTAGTTTAATGCACTGGCATATATATGCCTTAAGGACTGTACTTTTCTCTACCAAATCTTTGTAAATCATAAACAAGCATGTAATGATTATGAAACAAATATTTAGGTGTTCAAATGTAATCTGTTTACAAAATATATTATATTCACTTATTAGATGAATCCAACTTGACATTTTTCATTGTTGAGAATTCAGTTCACATTTAATCAAACTACATTCTGAAATTTACAAATGACTAAATGACTAGCACCAGTCTATTTGGGAACTAAGGAATCAAAAGAAGAGGAGAAAGGTACTATTTTCATTTCCCCCAAACCCTCATAAGGACAATAATGTTTGTGTGTATATGCATTGGTGTATTTGTGTGTGTTTATGTAAAAAGGGGTAAAAATGTAAAATATTAATAAATATAACTGCTGCTAAACTGTTAGAATACCAGTTAGAGGAGCTAATAAAGCAATATTCAAAGATTGAGGACTTTTAGGTGGTCATTAGAATGAGCCAATGAAATTGCAAAGTTCATGTAGTTAAAAATAAGATGGCAAAATGTTGGGATTTTTATTATAAAAAAGCAGCAAACATGAAAATCTTTCATCTCAAGGTATCTAAACTCTTCTTACTTTGTATGATTAACTCCAAATTATAAGACACTTGATGAGCTTTTACACCATGATATAGATGACATTAAGGACTGAATCTTTACTTGCATATTTCATATGTGGCTTAAACTGTCAGGCACTCAGTCTGTCATTTCTCACTGCAGAAAATTTTATCAAACACATTTTCCCTAGCATTTTATGAAATTTAATGGAATGCAGCAATGCAACTGAAATATAATACTGTCCAAAAGCCATGTATGACTTTATAATATACACTTTATGGTATCACTTAACTTTGTATAATAACTTCACCTATCTCCTTAAAGCTGGGATTAAGGGAAAAAGAATCAGTCAACAAGAAGGTAAGTTCACAGAATTATCAGCCATAATAGTGTAAATTTGCCATTAAAATTAGAAAAATAGATGAAATATTTTTCATTCAAGTTTTCATAAATTTTCTGATACATATGAACTTTCAAAGTTAATTAAAATGCTATGAACTTAGTTTTTTTTAAAAAACTTACTCTACAGGCTCAACAAAATATTTAAAATTGTATTTTCTCTTAAGCACTGTTTTTTTTTTTAAGGTAACATTTCTAAGAGCAAGTTGGTTAAGCTGTCTAGTTTTCCTATGACAGTATGTTGTTTAGTTTAACCTACTAATTCAATCAGGCATTTCTATTGATTCACCTGGAAAAGGGGATACAACAGAACATTTTTAAGAGCTAATTTTA